CTTAACTTATGTCGATCCTGTAATAATATATAAAATGAAGTATTTGCGGTTTTTCCATGAACAATTGCAACTAACTCCCATCTCGCCTTTTATGTGCATTTTATGCAATTTTAATATTGCAGCGTTTTTTTTAATTTTTTTTTTAATAAAACCATATCACTATTAATTTCATTTCACCAAGGAAAGTCGCTCGTGGGCTTGATTTCCGAAGCCCACGCCAAAGCTATACACGAAATTGACTGGCGCAAATAATCTTTGAGATTGAAGAGCGCCATCTAAACGAAGAACCAACCAACCTATGAAACAACATTTCTTGACTAAAATCGACCGATTAGCTATTCCCGTTTGGAAATTATATATCACAACTACATATTCTGAGATTTTCATGATCGCAGCTACCATTGTACGGCCCATAGGCGCTATTTGAAATGTATCAAATTTACCGGAAGCACCGGTAAATTTTATATTCAATTTTACTCGAAAAAAGAAGTGTTTTAGGGGCTATTTTTGTTAGTGCTTATAATATACATCCCCAGGGGCATCCAAATATATCAAAATTGTAAAGATTCACTATCGACCCAATTTTCAAAATTGCCCGAAACTTTGTATTACCTTTAAAGGTCCACTGTACTACTTGTAGCTACTTGCGCCCTCTATATAAACAAACAATGCCTAATCGGTGACCATTGGTCCCCCATGATCCTCATTTTCTTATGTTAACTGAGAGCTGAGTTTGATGAGATAACCGCCTGTCCAGTGACCTTGCAGGGCGGTCTAATACCTCCTGTAAACTATGGCAGATAAGCTTCAAGGGCAGCCCCACGCATATCCTCAGTGCTTGGTATTGAACAGAGTCAAGTGCTTGTTTTTTGTTAGCAGCTGCACTGTCATACGCCTCACATCCGTAATAAAAAAAAGACTTTATAAGTGCTCTGTACACCAAGGTCGTTCTAGTTGACATCTTAAGATATTTATTTTTCTTGTACTTCTTATGATTAAATTTTCGATATGGGGTTCCCAGGTTAAAACCTTTTATCAGGTATAACTCCTAAAAACGATGAGATTTTACGTACGTCAGCCAGGCGCGTACGCAGGGGGGGGGGGTAATTTTATGTATGTAAACCCCCCTAAAAAAACCTAAACCCCCCTTTTTGACTTTTTTTTTTTATAAAAAAAAAAAAAATTATGCCCACGGCCGACCTAAAAAAGGTGACCTTACCCCCCCCCCCCCCAACTGAGCAAAATGTCAAATTTCCAAATTTCGAGAGACAAAAAAAAAAAAAGTGTCCTCTTACCCCCCCCCCCCCCCCCCCCCCCCCCCCCCCCCCCCCCCCCCCGCTTATTCAGCATTCAGCGGCTGGCTGAGTCGTTGCGAAAATTTCGGACCGATTTATAAATGTTAAACCCCCCCCCCCCTTGAAAAAATCCTGCGTACGCGCCTGACGTCAGCACATTTCCTTTTAGCTTTATTTCAGTTGGTAAAAAATGCCAGCTTTTCGTGAAAAGTACAGGCACTCTTTTGTCAGCTGAGAGTTGAAACCCCCACTCTTAAATCCAATAGATTAATAGATTCAGATATTTCTTTCCAGTAGTATGTCCAATGTTTCTGCCTGATATCCGTATTGCGTAGTCATCTGCATACACAGATATTCTTACCTCTGGGTCTGTTGGTATATTAATTTGTTTTGTTTTAATTTCTGCGTTTTCAAAATAGTACTTTCAATTCAATTCAATTTATTTCGCAATATAAAAATCAAAGTATACAAGGTAACAGTAAATTATAACTATATTTACAAAATTTATATGCGGGGCTTTTCATGAAGGCGGCGAAAACCTGTAAAGTTGGATCGCCCATTACAGAAATACCAAATATTATATGCACACAACAATAAATTAAGTAAAATAAACAAATTGCAGACACTTTAACTATCTATAAGACGAGAGAAAATGAGAAAGAAAAACAAGGGGACAACAATATAAAGGAGTTCAGATATAGAAAAATCAACAACTGTGATGAATAATAATCATTTAGTAGTAGGAGTTTATATTGTTTTCTAAAGGATAGAAGATATTGAATTGGGATTTCGTTATTACCTTGGGGATCATAATCCACTGTTCAAGACCTAGATAACTCATTGATTTAGATTCATAACTAGAATTAACAGACCATAAATGAAATATGTTGAAAAATATAATGATGAATTTGAATATTATATTGAAAGAAGTCTGAAAGGGGGGTAGGTAACAACTTATTTTTTATATTTGTACATGGACTTTGCGATTTCTTGCTTATTTATATCATGAATATTTAATAGTGATAGCTATGAATGATGCTAGAAAATGATAATTGGTAGCTATTTCCTCAACATTTCTTTTGAACTTTGAATAGTTAGTCTAATTCAGTTTGTGTTGCATTGGTAGCCCATACAATATTATAATATTTCAAATAAGGGAAAATAATGGAATGATATAAAGTTATCAATTTTTCGGGAAACAAACTATATTTTCAGCTTATTTATCAAGCCAGTATTTCTGCTGATCTTATGTAAAACATTCGAGATATGGTTCTTAAATCTCAAGCAACTATCCAATACGACACCAAGAAATTAACGGAATTACTTAATTGAATAAGTTTATTATTAATATAAATGGGAATGTTATCGTTATAAAACTCACTCTCTGAACTGCATACTCATAATGCGATCATATCGCCTGGTAACGCATTAATAATTACATGAAACAATGCAATCAATTCAAATCATATACTCATTGTCACATGGAATTTTTGTAATGGCTTGAGACCTTTTGAGAAAATCCAACATATTCAATGCATAATTTTGACTAATGAAACTGACTTTAATAGTTCTGTTAGTCTCAATAACCTTTACATCTTAGAAATATCTTGATCTACACATTTGTTTAACCACTCAAAAAATGTCAAGTCGTTCAAGTTGAAAATATTAAACTTTAAATTTTTCTTGTCACTTTATATATCAAGTCAGATCCATTGGTGGGGGGGGGGGGGGAGATACTTTTCAGAGTGGAACATTCATGCTTTGAAAAACACATACCAAGAGCATATTGATTTAAATATATCACTAAAATGTACCTAACAGCACAGTTAATAAGTAAGCTATGGGTTTAAATTGTAAAGTAATGGTATCTAATAGCTATACCATTATAAAGGCAACATACGACAGATGTGTCTGTAAAAGAAGAAATGTCAGAAAATACGAGAAAAAGTTTGTAATATTGTCAACTCGTGTACACCTTTTGTTTTTAACTATTTCAACTGCGACATTTCTCTTTTCTCAGTATGATTTTTGTTTAGATGTTTGGAGCATCCAAATGTTTTTCTTAATTACAATCAAACAACCCCATTAACAAAGAGTAGTCAATTACAGTTGATAATAATATTACTTGCTTTCTCTGCTCGCTATAATTCTAGTAGATTGAAAAAAACACAGCTGTTTAGCCTGAGAGAGTTACCGTGTTTATATAAATAAATGAAATGAAAAAGTAAGGGCCACTTTTTAGGTACGAGAAGTGCCTCCTTTCAGTTGCTTGTAATTTCCCCTTCACCTCTGATAATCATCCCTTGTTAGTGTCTTTTTTTTTCAGGTGCATGAATTGGCCCATTTTCACCTCTGATAATTTACCTTCTTAACAATGATACGTCTTATTTTCCTTTCTGATAAGGGACCTATATATATATATATAACAATTTTTAAATTTTATAAATGCCCCTATCAAAATCTGATTGTTGCCTCTTTTCTGTCGATAAATGCCCAGTTTCCGTTCTCATAAGTGCCTTTTTTCATTCCTGGTTGGTGCCTCTTTTCAGGTGCATAAATTGCCCCATTTTCACCTCTGATAATTACACGTTGTACTTTGACACGTGCTCCATTTTTCTTCTAATAAATGTCTGATCCATTTCGATAAGTGTCCCCCTTTTCTCTCATCATTAAACGTGCCCCTTAGATAAAGCGACTAAAAGCAATTTCCCCCAAGCTCGCTCACATTTATAAATGATTACTTACTGAAGGTCTTTTCAGACTTCCGTTATGAGAATGTGCGTATAACCCAATCTGGAAAGGGATTTTCTACTTTATAAGACGTAATTTTTCGCACTGCAACCTCACAATTCTTAAAAATTTCCCTCGCTCGACTCCCTCGCCCGCAAATGTGTATTTAGATCACAACACTCAGCTGCAAAGTATGATGGTTAAAGAGAAGGTCGAGTTCTGAGGAGAGGTGAACAATAACTTGTGAGCGTTATCATTGTTATTATGCAAGTGTGGAAGAAAATTAGAGAAAAAATGTTCCTTGAAAAGCATGGCTCTTCAAATGCCTTCATATTCTAAATATGACAATTAACAACTTAAAAATGAGGCCCAATTTTTATGCCAAATATCATGTGTAGTCCCATTATGACCTAACTTTCAACACGCCAGGAATGGCGAGCACTCGCAGACGTCATTTCGCTGCCAAAAAAAATGAAGGGTAATTTTGAAACAGTGAAGAAAGTTTGCGCTGCGATTATTAGCTTAAACTTGAAAGAAACTTTTTATACACGTGAATTTTTAGAAAATTTTCCGGTATCAGTTGGACGTATTTTATACTACCGAAACCTGGTAGATTTGCACCAACGTTTGGTAGTCATTTGTATGTTAAAACTTACAAAGTTTTATTCGTTAATGGACCCGATGTTTTTTTTTGGGACCAAAAAAAAAAAAAAAAAATGACCTCTTCCCCCCCCCCCCCCCGCTTATTCAGCGGCTGGCTGAGTCGTTGCGAAATTTTCGGCCCGATTTATAAATGTTAACCCCCCCCCCCCCCCCTTGAAAAAATCCTGCGTACGCGCCTGTGCATATACGTGCCCACCTTAAGGCTACCATTAACGATGAACAGATAGAAGACAATGTTAAACTTGTTAAGATGTCGGTAAAGATTTGGATTTTGGGTAGCTTAATTATGTTTTTTGTTTTTTTGTAGATGGAGAGGCAAAATCTGAATCAGAAGCTAAGAGATACGTGGAGACTGGAAACACTCGATTAGCTGCTGGTCAACTAGCTGATGCCCTGGCCCATTACAAGTTTGCAATATGTAATACACATTACCAATGATTGGCATTCCTGCTCCTTGCCCGAATGAAATGGGGTCCATATTCGCTATTCATAAGGACCGCTATTCATAATGACCACTATTCATAAGGACAGCTATCCGTAAGGACCGCTATTCATAATTTGAGAAGAGTTTCGCTATTCATAATACAAAGTCGGGGTCATTATTCATAGGGGTCCGTATTCATAATACGAGAAGATTAAAGACGATTAGCGTCCCTCATTTTGTATTATGGATAGCCGTTCTTACGAGTAGTGACCCCAATCGAAATTATGAAAGCGCCCCTTCATATTTATGAACAGTGGCCCTGATAAGTAATGACCCTCAGCGTGAATTATGAATAGCGACCCTCATCTCACATTATGAATAGCAGCTAGCTCTTATGACTAGCGAGGTTGCCCCCAATGAAATATGATGTGCTGTGAAATGTAAAATACAGTCACACCTGCTTCAGCGACCACCTAAAGAAAGACCGTCTTCCTATGAAGACCACATTCTATGTTTATGTTAAGCTTTTTTTTTTTAAAGTCCGTTTGTACCTAAGGAACCTGTTTAGTAAGACCATTTACCTATATGATATACCCCTGAACTACTCCTTGAGTAATTATCTGCTCTTCGAACTAAATAAAAGTGGCTTTAACATTCATATTTTCCAGATCAATGGTCTCAGCTATCCCAACGTGAATTTAAATCATTGGATGTAACTGATTTTCTGTTAACGGTTAATTCATATCTTTCTCCCTATGATGTTCACTAGGCGGTAGCTATTTACATTGTATTGTATTCAGAGTTGTAGGCTCATGCGGGATTGAAAAAAGTAATTTTTAGCCCATGCCACTATGCCTAACCCTTATATAGAAGCGACCCGGTGTTATAATATGTAAAAAGGGGACAAATCAGAGGTAAGACTGTCAGAGCAAAAAATGTCAGAGCAAAAAATGTCAGAGGTAAATGTTTTAAAACAAAAGCATCTTACAGGTTGCATATTGGCAATGCTTGTATATTCGTCTTATCGAGAATAAATAACAAAGGATTCTCTGCAGACAATATTTTAGCGATGCTTTCTTTTCTTATTTCTTTAATCTTTATTTACATTTCGACCTAAAATTGAGACTTTTTGCCCATTTATTGCCGAGGGGAGCAAGCAAAGCTTTAAAATTGTCAAACTTTTGTAATAAACATTGATGAGGGGAAAAAGCAAATCTGTGTCTTTTTAAAATGCTTTTTTTTGTGGTCATAATAGTCTTTGGTGGGATGAGCATGAAGATGGGTCTGATGACTGAATTTGTGGAATCATTGTGCGATCCTTGTAACTGATTCCTTGCTTTATCTCATTCAATCTTAATATTCTATGTATTTACTTCCTCAAATACCAAATAAACATTAAAACATTTTAATATATCGGAAAATATTAGGAATTCATATAATTATGCAAACCTGAACACAAAATATAAATTTCAAACTTATTGTCCACATTGTATAATTCCCAGGACATGTACGAAGTACTATACACAGTCATTTGTAAAATATAGGCCTATATTATGATATGGAAGAGGGAAATATTATACCCTAGCCCTGTAGCTAATGTCTCGACATTTTGTGATAACCTGCTGAGATACTATGAAGGCACTGATTTTTGCCCCGATATTTGTTTTTGTACCTCTGACAGTTTTACCTCTGAAAATTGTTACCTCTGACAATATTGCCTTTGACATTTTTACCTCTGACTTTTTTTACGTGGCACCATAGTATTTTAGGGAATTAAATCACCTAAATAAAAGAAATAGAAATAGATTTCTTTCCTACCTTGTCTCGTAGAAACACCTGTTGAGTACAGATACTTGGAACATATATTATATCACAAGTAGTAGTTCAAATATTGCACAGCACCCGTAGAAAGAATATGTAAGACCATGTACAAAGTAATGACGCTTCTTCGCGAATTAAGTAAAGAAAAAGAAACTTATAATCTCTATAAAGTAATAAGGCCTCAGAACCGAGTAGAGAAACAAGCGAAGAAATAGGACAAGAATTAAGATGAAGCTGAATTAGCTTTGCTGTAGATAGACTCTCTAGAATACGTGTGCTCTATATGAACAGCTCAGGAGAAGTGATGAAAATAGGTGTGGCAAATAAAGCAAGCAAGTGTAATGTACCTGTACAGTATAAGCTATACCAGTACATTAGGTGGTTGCACATCCCAACCCATAGGGTATGGAATGTGCTTGCCAGAGTAAGTATTTGTGGCACTCTAGTAATGCAACAGGTGTCACTAAAGAAATGAGTGACAATGGAATAAAAGGCTAGACTTCAAGCCACACAATAAAGACAAGACAATAATATTTACAAATGCAAAGTTCTCCAAAGGTCAAGTCACTACAGTAGCTCCCCTCTAGATTTGTTGTCGAATGAAAAGTAGCAACAAATCGATGAGGAAATATAGACCTACATGCATGTTGACTTGAAAATACGAAAATATGGTAATACTGTTGAAACACAGTAAGTTTAATATGCTTCACCCGACTTCGAAAAAATCCACGAACCTCACTGGCCATCGAACTTGACGACCAGACCTGGTCTTTCGAATCTCAGGAGTGTTCTGCTTCAGTGCAGGATCCAATGCTAACGGCGCAGGATCCAGTGCTAACGGAGCAGGATCCAGTGCTAACGGAGCAGGATCCAGTGCTAACGGAGCAGGATCCAGTGCTAAGTCTGCGGAGTTGGATTGCCGAGGGACTTGGATAGGTGGATCTTGACCCTTCTTAGATTGAGCAGGGAGATCTTGCTCCATGAAAGCTGGTTTAAGTCTCTCAACACTGACAGTTTCACGTTTACCATTGTAATCAATAGTAAAAAACTTGTCAGAGCGTTGAAGGACTCGAAAAGGCCCCCTGTAAGGAGGTTGAAGGGGCCCCTTGACTGCATCAACCCTCAAAAAGACGTGGGATGAGGAATGCAACTCTGGGTGTACCTGTGTAGGGGTAGCTCGTTGCTTGCGAGTAGGGGTGGGATGTAATTCACGCATCAGTCTCTTCAGTCTGTGGGCGTAATTAGCTGGATCGCCAGCAGAGTCAGTCTGTGAAGGAGACACAAATTGGGCCGGTAGCATGACCGTAGTACCAAAAACGAGTTCTGCTGCGGAACATCCCAGATCAGACTTGATAGCTGTACGTATACCCAGCAATACCAAGGGAAGGACCTCAGTCCAACGGACTGTGTTATGCGCCTTGAGAGAGGCTTTGAGTTGCCTATGAAAACGCTCAACAAGCCCATTGGCTGCTGGATGGTATGCTGTTGTGCGAATGCGTTTAGTGCCAAGAAGATTAGTGAGAGCAAGGAAGAGTGCTGACTCAAATTGTCTACCCCTGTCTGTAGTAAGAGTAGTTGGAGCACCAAACACCGCTACCCATCTGGCCACAAAAGTACGTGCTACAGTATCCGCAGTGATATCTGGGATAGGTATAGCTTCTGGCCATCTGGTGTAACGATCCACACAAGTAAGAAGGTACGTGTTACCCTCTGAAGTAGGAAGTGGGCCTACAAGATCGATGTGCACATGAGAGAAAACGCGCATCAGGTGAGGTAAAAGTGCCAAGTGGAACTTTTGTGTGTTTATGCACCTTGCATCTCTGGCATTCAAGACATGTTCTGGCCCATTTCCTGATATCATGATTAATACCAGGCCAAACGAAACGTTCCGTGATGAGCTTTTGAGTGGCCCTGATCCCAGGATGGGATAGTCCGTGGAGGGCGTCAAAAATAGCTCGTCTGTGTTTGACTGGAACAAGGGGTCTAGCAACACCTGTCGAAACATCACATAGCATGGTAGTAAGAGAACCAGGAAGCGATATAGACTTGAGCTGAAGCGAGGAGTCCTGTACCTCACTATCATCCTCCTGTTCTTTCGCAATGGCTGCAAAATCTATGACCGAGGATGAATCAACTCTGTCGATACACAGACGGGAGAGAGCGTCTGCTGCTGTGTTCTCCCTTCCTGCTATGTGGTGTATCTCAGATGTGTATTGGGATATGAAATCAAGCTGGCGGATTTCACGAGGTGAGTGTCGGTCAGGCTTTGAATTCAAAGCATGGGTGAGAGGTTTGTGATCCGTGTAGATGGTAAATGTGCGACCTTCAAGTAGATGTCGAAAGTGCTTTACACCGAGGTAGGCTGCTAACAGTTCCCGACCGAAAGTGCTGTACTTAGTCTCGGCAGGCTGTAGTCTCTTAGAAAAGAAAGCCAACGGTTGCCAAATACCATCTACCAGCTGTTGGATAGTTCCCCCAACTCCCACATCAGATGCATCAACCAACAGGCATAGAGGAACATCAATTCTAGGATGAACTAAAACTGCAGCGTTAGCTAACTGATCTTTAGCCTGATTGAAAGCAGAAAGTTCTTGTTCACCTAGGGTGATTGGTTGGTTCTTCTTCAATCTATTTTTCAACAGATCCGTGAGAGGCTGGAGTACTTCTGCACACCGCGGAATGAACCGTCTGTAGAAATTGATCAGCCCGAGGAACTCTCGTAGTTTGGTAAGTGATGTAGGTATCGGAAAATCACGGATGATCTTCACCTTGTCACTAAGTGGCTGTATTCCTTCCGAGTCAACTTTATGCCCTAGAAAGGACAGTAAAGGTACTCCGAACTGACACTTAGCGGGGTTGAGAATGATTCCATACTCTTGCAGGCGGTCAAAGAGTAAACGGAGATGTGTCTCGTGTTCGTCTTTGGTAGTACTAGCTACAAGAATATCGTCTAGGTAAACATAGACGAAAGGAAGACCGCGAGTGACATCATCCATCAATCTTTGGAATGTCTGAGCTGCATTGCGAAGGCCAAACGGCATCCTAACAAACTCGAATAATCCAAAAGGGGTGGTTATAGCTGTCTTGTGGATATCGCTAGGCTCGACTGGGATCTGATGATATGCCCTGATGAGATCAATCTTGGAAAAGATTGTCTTGCCACTAAGTGACGCAGAGAAATCTTGCAAATGAGGAATAGGGTATCTATCAGGAATAGTACGAGCATTAAGCATGCGATAATCTCCACAAGGTCGCCAGTCCCCTGGTGTCTTCTTCGGAACCATGTGCAAGGGACTTGACCAGTTGCTATCAGATTGTCTGATAATGCCGAGTTCAAGCATGTGTTCAAACTCTGCCTTGGCAATCTGCTGCCGATCTGGAGCAAGCCGACGAGGGCGAGCTGAAGCAGGTGCGCCTCGAGTTTGGATATGGTGGGTGGTTGTATGCTTGACTTCTGAGTGCTTGTACACTGGCCGGGTGATGTCAGGATACTCACGAAGAAGGGAGTGGAAACGCTCCGAAGTATCTTGCTTGACATACACCGGGCTAATGATGCCTGTGTATGTACCGACTCCCTGTACTGTAAGAGTGGTGGTGGTGTCTATCAGCCGTCGATGTTTGATGTCGACTAATAGTCCATAGTTATCAAGGAAATCGGCTCCCAAGATAGGTGTAGGTATGTCCGTGACAACAAAAATCCAACGAAAAACTCGCCGCAACCCCAGATCAAGAGTGAAAGATCTCTGGCCAAAAGTCTTAATGGGTGATTTTTTAACAGCTTGAAGTTGGATATTTTTTGCACTTACCATTGCCGATTTTCCTAACATGGAATGAGGGAAAATACTAACTTCGGCCCCAGTATCAACAAGAAAACGCGTGCCTGATTGTTTATCATGAACAAAGAAAAGGCGACTGGGTTGAATGGTGCCAAGTGAATTAGTCGCCGCTATTCCTTGGCGGGCCCGTTTCCCTGGACATATCCAGGGCGGCTTTGTCCTGCTGAGTATGAACAAGGACTTATGCACTTCTGGGCTCGTTTGCCATGCTTCCAGTGGTACCAACATTCAGCCCCAGCATGTTGTTGATGCCGACTCGGGCTACGGGAAGCTGATTGGCGAGGGCCGGAATTCTTCGGGCCTCGCTGTCGACTGCGACTTCTGCGGTCCTCCTGTATAGAACAAGTCAAGGCTTGCACCTGAGCAGCCAGTTGAGCAACCTGGGTAGAAAGTCGATGTACTTCACCAGAGTCATTGGGAGTAGCGCAAGCGTAAGTCTGCGCTGGCACTTCTTTAGGTAAGACATGAGAAATAGTAGGCGGACCAGCAACTTCAACAATTTTGTCGGCTAATGCCGCTAGCGCAACCAAGCTGACATCATCGCTTGTGGAAGCGAGAATCAACTGTACATTGGTTGGCAGGCGTTGCAAAAATAATTGCTTAAGTATACTAGTTTCCAAAGTATTAGAGCCTAATAATTGTTGCATTCTCCTAAGGAGTTGGGAGGGCGACCTATCGCCTAACTCTTCACTCGTCAGCAATTTGTTTAGACGCTTTTGCTCAGAGACAGAAGTTCGCTTAACCAGTGCTGCTTTTAGTATCTTGTACGGCTCTGTTTGGGGAGGGGCAATTAAAATATCGCGCACCTCAAGAGCTACCTCTGGTTGTAATGAGGCGACAACATAAGCAAACTTTGTAGACTCAACTGAGACACCTCTAGTTTGAAACTGAGCCTCAACCTGAGCAAACCAAATATCAGGATCATGTGCCCAAAATGGTGGAAGCTTTAAACTAACATATGAGACTTGAGGGGATGGCTCAGAAACCTCACTAGGTAATACATTGCTATCAGTATCAGGCATGATAATGACGATGACAAGGTAGATTAGATCAACAGAAGAAGAAAAATCTGGATCACGTCGGGGTCACCAGTTTAGGGAATTAAATCACCTAAATAAAAGAAATAGAAATAGATTTCTTTCCTACCTTGTCTCGTAGAAACACCTGTTGAGTACAGATACTTGGAACATATATTATATCACAAGTAGTAGTTCAAATATTGCACAGCACCCGTAGAAAGAATATGTAAGACCATGTACAAAGTAATGACGCTTCTTCGCGAATTAAGTAAAGAAAAAGAAACTTATAATCTCTATAAAGTAATAAGGCCTCAGAACCGAGTAGAGAAACAAGCGAAGAAATAGGACAAGAATTAAGATGAAGCTGAATTAGCTTTGCTGTAGATAGACTCTCTAGAATACGTGTGCTCTATATGAACAGCTCAGGAGAAGTGATGAAAATAGGTGTGGCAAATAAAGCAAGCAAGTGTAATGTACCTGTACAGTATAAGCTATACCAGTACATTAGGTGGTTGCACATCCCAACCCATAGGGTATGGAATGTGCTTGCCAGAGTAAGTATTTGTGGCACTCTAGTAATGCAACAGGTGTCACTAAAGAAATGAGTGACAATGGAATAAAAGGCTAGACTTCAAGCCACACAATAAAGACAAGACAATAATATTTACAAATGCAAAGTTCTCCAAAGGTCAAGTCACTACAGTATCATAATAATGGCGGCCAACCATTCCTATTCAGGAAGAATGATTCCTAATGTTTTGCCTTTCGAACCCTAGATTTTTTTTTCTTCTGAAAACTTCAGTGTAAAGAGTATACAAAATAGAATTTATTTCTAATTTGCCTTTGAAGCAGAAGTACATGTAGTTCAGATATTCTTTGCTGCGAAAGGTCGTCAGGTAGGCACACAACCATGGAATCGTGCATGGCTTAAGTCACGTTCAGTTTAATATGACTCGACAAAACCACAGCATTATCTTTTATATGACAGAGCCTTAAAGAAAGTGTTTTCTTCAATGTGTATGTACATCTAGACAATGATCCTAAGAACTACATGGCCTACTACAAGAGAGCCGATGTCTACCTGGCCCGGGGAAGTCCCAAACTAGCCCTTTCAGATCTGAAGAAAAGTATGACTCTCAAGCCAGACTTCACCCCTGCTCTCATCAGTCACGGGAATGTACTCTTCAAACTGGGACACCTCGCTAAAGCTAGGGAGGATTACGCTGCAGTGGTGAGACAAAAGATTGATTTTATCCTAATATTATTATAGCAATTAGCATCTAACAGCTAGTCTCCTTTGGCAAAACATTACATTTGGCTCTCTCCGTCCAGGTAAAGTAGATCAATTAGAAAGTAGTTTAGCCAATGCCGGGTTAAAATTATGTGTTTTTATTTTTTTGCTGTACGACTTCTTTCTGACCCACCTGGCATATTTCAAAGATACCATGTCCCTTTTGCAGCCAACATCAAATTTTGTAGAACTTTGCAGGAATTATAAATGTGTCATATCTGTAAAATTTAAACATTATGCCAGGAAACCCGTATACCTTCTAGATTTCACTGTTAGACACTATTAAGTGAGTGACTGACATTTTTTTTCTTTGGAAACAAAACGTTCGACCATTAGGTAAAAGGGTCTGAAAATCAGACTATTATTTAGGTGATTGCAATCAATTAAGTCGCTTCGACGAGTAATGGTCGTTATTTGTCCACTAAAAGCCATTTTCAAGCCCTTTCGTTTTGAGGGAAGTTCAAAATTAGTATAGTCTTTCAAATGCCGTTTTAACATTTTCATTTGTTTGGCCTGCAAATGGCACATAGTACCTTTAATCTGAATCACTTTTCAGGCGGGCTGTAAGTAATACAGACCACCTTATAATTTCGTTAAAATCGCCTTTATTATTATTATTTATCAGGTGGGCTGTTAGTAATACAGACCACCTTATAATTTGTTAAAATCGCCTTTATTTTATTAATAAAAAATAGAAAATAGGGACTTATATTATCAATATAAAGAAACAATTAGTGGATAGTGAGGCAATGGCGTCACAGACTCATAAGTGAGTTGCCAATTTGTCTTGTGACCTTCAAAGTTTTTCATGTTATCAAAAATTAATAATTTTCTTATTAGCTATCTCATTTTACTCAATTTTTTTTTTTTAATCAGTAATTTTCAAAAAAGTATATAAAATGTTCTCTCTGTAACTTGTGTTAATTTATTATTAGCGTTCCCAACACAAGCTATACTTTTCGCGTTTTCGCCTACTTCTGTCTTTGAATTATTTACCGTATACTCTATTTTAAAATCATTGTTACATGATAATTTACATAAACGTTGTGTTTCACATTGCACCATTGAGAAGGAAATGAATGTTAATAAATACAACAACAAAAAAATGGAGCTCAAAGATGTCAATGATTATTTTCTCTCCTTATTTTCTTTCTGCTTACAGTTGAAATACGATCCTTCAAATAAAGAGGCCGACAAGCAACTTGGAATGACTCGTACTCTTGAGGAGCGAATAACGTTAGGAGATCAACTGTTCCAATCAAATCAACACGAGCAAGCATTAGATGCCTACTCAGAAGTTATAATGGTAAGACAGTAGTTACATTTGTTAGGATCAAAATTGAAAAGTAAAATAAAGTTACACTTTCTGCAATTAGAAATGACTTGTACATCAGGAAACGAACAACAAAAGTAAATCTTTGATATTGATTATAATAATAATACTAGTATGCCATTCTTGTATCGCGGGGCGAGGGTCAAGGGGCTTAGCCCCCGGAAGCTCAGGGTTTTTAGGCATTAAATGACGGTCAAATAAGCATATTAAAATACCTTATTTGTGAAACTGGCTGGTCACTAATTGGCGGGGGTCCAGGGTCAGAGCCTTGGGAAACTCAGGGGTGTCAGGTATTTAATTACAATCAGATGAGCATCCAGGGGCCCTCTTTAGGGCACTTGGTATGGTCCAGGGGGTAGAGCCCCCGGAAGCTGAGAGGTTTTAGGTATTTAATGATAGTCAGATGAGCATCCAGGGGCCCGCCTTAGGGCCCTTGATGAGGTCCAAGGGGAAGAGCCCCTGGAAGCTCAGGGGTTTTAGGTATTTATTTACGGTCAGATGAGCATCCAGGGGCCAACCTTAGGGTTGGCCCTTTTCATATTAATTAATGATTTTCATATTAATTAATTAATATTTATATTCATATTTATTTCATTTCAAACAGAAAGGTATATACAAAGATATTACTTTTTTTGTTCATACATAATTCATTTTTTCAGTAAACTATACAAATAAAATTTGCACATAATAGAATTATTACAAGAAATTCTTAATTTCTGAGGAAATCTGGGGATCCCCTAAAAAGCAGTGCTTGTAGTTTGTGGATCCCCCCCCAAAAAAAAAAAATCAAATTTTGCAATATTACAAAACAACATAAAACCCCGAAACGAACACGGAGAAGTAAAACAGATAAGAAGGAAAAGGGAAGAGGGGGAAGAAGGACAAATCATGAACGAAAAAAGGTGGTTATAATTTATTGCATTTTACCCCGGTTCCCAACATAATTTTTTATTGTTGGGGACCGGGGTAAAAATTCAATAAATTATCAAAAATTATTGGATTTTCTGTGTTTTTTATACAATTATGGCAAATTATTATTTAATAAAATCTGAGAATGTATACTATTATCTAGATCTATTATTTTTAAATTCTTTTTAAAATAATTCCATAAGTTGGGGTAAAACAAAAATATTCCAACTTTATGAGCGACAGTGTATGATCATTCGAGAATACATATTGTCGTCTATTGGATACGTAACTCCTGAACCGCTCCAAGGCCTTCCCACGCACCCCATAATGAGAAAGTTTGAATAATAAGATGTCATGATTGATGGTGTCGAAGGCCTTGGAGAAGTCCAGGAAGATACCAACCAGGTGAGAGCATTTGTCTAAAGCATGCGCTACTTTGTCAATAAAATTCAATAAGGCATGTTCCGTATTATGTTTTTCTCTAAATCCAAACTGAAAGTTGGAAAAAATACTATGAGTTTTTAAAAAGTAAACAGTTCTACGATAAACAACTTTTTCTAGAATTGTCGACAAGGAGGATAATAAAGAGATTGGTCGATAATTACTCACATTCAACTTATCACCTTTTTTGTATAGGGGTATGACTTTTGCGATTTTCATATTATCTGGGACTTGTCCATTAAGTAACGATAGATTAAGAATGTGTACTTAAAGATATACAATTGAAGATATTACACCTTTTAGAATAAAATTATTAATATCATCATAGCCTGGACCCTTTTTGTTATTCAAATTAGATACAATTTCCATGATATCTTCTTTAACTATAGGAGTGAGAAAAATAGTATTGGGGTTGGGTGTACCTAGGTAATCAGAGAAATGTTTGGCTGAAGGAGGAATACCTTTAGCCAAGTTTGTCCCTATAGAGGAAAAAAGGTTGTTGAAAGTATTGGCTATGTTTTCAGGATCCTCGTCAATATCATTATTATACCTAATTTTAGTTATATATGATTTGTTATTGGATAAATTCATAGCTTGCTTTAAAATCTTCCATGTGTTATGAATATCGTTCTTATATAAAGATAACTGGTTCGTAAAGTATTTTTTTTTTGCTAATCGTATTGTTTTCGTTAAAATATTTTTTATTACTGGTGTATCTAGCTTTGGCCTGTTCAGTACCTTTCATTTTACATTTATAGTATACGTTATTGTTTCTGTTAATTGAACGTAAAAGTGATCTAGAAATCCATGGAAGTCTCGGTGATTTTTTGTAGGTAGTTCCTTTGTCTTTAACTTACACCCATCTGCATTGTCCTGAAAATAAATAAATGGAATAACAGCTTAGACCCCAATTGCTAATCATGCATTTTAACTGCATTATTTAAAAACTGTAAAAGTTTGTTGCTATTCTTCCCCCTAACATTCCTAATTTGAATAAAAATATTACGAATACGAATGACAGGTGTTAATTTGAATGATACAAATTACGCTTCGACAAGTGAATATTAATTTGAATGCTAGTTGAACAGTTTCTAAATTGAATGACAGATCTACGAAACCCTTCGACCAAAATCCTAAATTAAATACAAAAACTGGAAAATTGAATGATAATTGGCATGGCATACGCTACATTAGTTGAAGAATAATCATTCGCGAGATCTGTTGATGAAGGGTTAAATGAATGAAAAAGGTCATCATCATTTGAAGAATAGAATGGCATATCAGCTAACTGGGCCATTGAAGTACAGTCAAGATCTCAATATAACATTGCATTTTCGGCTTTGGGTTTGTAGCAATGAGCAAGCAATTGGGCGATAGAAGCGTCCTGCATGGAGACACAGTAACAACAGTGTTACATGTGGAAAAGTACAGATACAAAACTAGAAATGCAATCGTGTCACAACGATGTGCGTGCAATGACGCCGTGTTTCTACGTGTCGAACGAAAGAGCTTCTCTCGGACTATCCAGAGCAATTTGTACGAAGTCTTTAGCTTCTGTAATATTGGAGACAGGTAGGGCGAAAGAAAGGCCTCAATAGTGACCTTCATGGGATGGTAGTGACTATGCCTACGAAGTTTGAAAGAAATTGGGATAGGGGAAAGAACCTAGAAAGGGCTCGCAAGCACTGCGTGCAAAAACAAATGGGATTAGTTGCATGTTCGTCAAATCAATCAAGATCGTTCTAGAGGTCAAAAGCGTGAACCCGATTTGCCCCATAGACAATGCGTGTAATGCATGGGCGGAAAACGTACAGGATCTGTATTATGACCGGAGTTAAATTGTTTTTTCTCTCTCTCTTTATGTCTCTTTATGGGCCGTATTTGGTATCATTGGAAAGAAAATTTCATGGTTTTTATTGTAAACTACTCTCTTTTTTTTCTATGATAATCCTATCGAAACATGTGATGTAAAATAGATTTAAAGGACAAAATGGCGTCTTAAATGGCCCCCTTGACTACTTTCAAAATCCGGCCACGAGGTGCCCTGCGTATTGCATCTCGGAATGTCATTGCAAATTTTCAACGAAAAAAAAGATGTTTAGGGGGCGAAAAGTAGTCTGAAAAAATGACGTCATCGCCGATAAGTGTTATAATCGGGCGGAATTCGTATAGTGACCCTTGTTCAAAAGCGATTTACTCACAATTTTCAGTGTAAACATATACCATACTTGGTATCATTCGAAAGGGCACTTCATTGCGGTCAGTTTGACACCATTGTTATCTGCGCGCAATGTATTGCACGCATTAAACGCGCTATTACGTAATGCATAGTAAATTCATCATTTTTGGCGATTACTTTGCGCTAACATATTCGAATTTTACCAAACTTAGTAAACAGTTGTCACGTATATGGATACATATGTCTGCCAAGTTTCATTGATGTAGGTATAAAGATCGCCATTTTAGAGCAAGTTGAAGTTATTTCTCAATTTTCTTGAAAATGGCGAATTTGGAGGGCAATTTTCTCAAATTTGGTCAGTGATAGGGTATATAATTTTGTATATGGCTGGAAAGGGCATATCTTTAAGTATCTAAATCCAAAAAAGGGTACGGGTTTGCTAAGCCATTATGGAGATACGGCCACAGAGAGAAAGCCAATTCCCAGAACTTTAGAGGGCGCTATTTATGTTGTGCAAAGCCATTGGAGCGTGAAATTTAGCATGGCTATGTGCAATTATGAGATAAAGATACTGTGAGATTTAAATACAAAACGGAATTTATATGAGAAAGTTATGGCAGTTTTAGATTATTTAGGGGTCCATTTTTCAAGAACTTGAGAGATTTTTGACGGAGTCGGTTTTAGATTTGAATTTCGAGTATGAAGATGGCATTTTGAAGGTCAAGTCATATGTCGCAGATGAAAGAACATCTCTCAGACTATCTAGAGGAATTTGTTAGAAGTTTGTAGGATCTAGGATAGTGGAGATAGGAAGGAAGATATAAAGGCCTTAAAATGGACCAGAAACGGACAAAATGGCGCCTGGACGGTCATGCATGAGTGATTTCCAAAATCGAAGAATGTAGTGACCTTGATGAGATGGTAGAGACTATGCCTATGAAATTTGAAAGGAAAAGGACATGAGGAAAGCACCTAACTAGGAATCACAAACACTACGTGCAAAACGAATGCGATTTCCTGACGATAAGGATAAGGATGAGGAAAAGGAGGAAAAGGAGAATATTAATGGGGCAGAATGTGAACGAAAACAAGGCAATGACGAAGGTCGTCATTGCAAACACATGAATACAGAGAACAGAACGATGACAACATACAACAGAGAAGGGGTTGCAAAAAGGACTTGACAGAAAGAGAGAAAGAAAAGGTACATGTAGGTACAAGTAGAGACTACATTCCACAGAAGTCCTCGTAGGCAGAGCGAACGAACGAGCCAATGAACAGGAGGCATAGGCATGTCACTCATTTTTGCTGTCTCTCGTTTCGCTTTCTTTTTCTCTTTAAGATACTTTTTCATAAAAAATAAGGGGGCTCGAGCCCCCGAGCCCCAACGTTTTGCAGGCCCTGACATGAAGGCTTCTAAATAAGCATATTTTTTCGACCGACTGTAAATTTTAGAATGTTTTTTTCTTTTCTTTCATAAACGCATAAAAAGCTATGATTTACACAAAAAATAAGACAAAATACCGGAAAATCATGTCATTTCAGCAACATTTGTATATCAATGGTATCGAATTTAAACAAATAAAATCAGTACGCCCATTCTTCAGGGGCTCATGTCTCTTCACCCCTTCAATAACATTGCACACACTCTTTCACATCCTCTCACAATGTTTCCACGATATGCGCGTATCGCTATTATAAAAACCTCCATTGATAAATATAGGGGCATTCGGAATGTTTCTTTGAATGAAATATAATTTGTATGTGATTCAATTCAGGTTTTAATATTTTTTTTTAAAGATGTTTTTGGTAAAAAAAAATACAAACCATCTGTACTCCTTTTTTTTTTGGTGGGGGGGGGGGTTAGGGGTGAAAATGCGTTTTGCCCTCCACACTTTTTCCCAGCCCCTCCCCCCCCCCCCCTTCCACTTCCGGCGCCTATGGTTATGTGTCTTTTATTTGATATATGATGTCCCTTCTTTCTTTGTTCTCAGTATTTACCCTGGAATGCAGATATGCACAGGAAACGAGCCAAAGTCTACACACAGCTTGGAGAGTTGTACAAGGCCATCGATGATCTTAGATCAGTGACTAAACTGGTTCCAGACAGCACAGAGGTCTATCTTGAAATGAGTAGAATACATTACAGTAAGGGAGATCTGGAACTGGCCTTAGCGTAAGTCCTAGTCTTATTTTGTCATAAAATAGGGCTCTTGAGTAAGTCGTAGTCTTTACTGGTCTTGTAAAAGGGGCTGTAGAGAGTAACTCGTAGTCCTAATCGGTCTATAACAAATATCCTCACATAAGTTCTGATGTTAAAATGGGGTCTAAGCACTGATTGGTCTTGAAATTATGCTTCTAGATTAAGTCTTAGTCCTTGATGATTTGAAAGAATACAAAACAGGTTGAGGAACCTTGATCAGGTTCTAAAGAAGTAATTGGTCTAGAAACAAGACTTCGTTGCCCCAACTGAGATCTAAAAACATTATTAATCGGCAATGTTTTGTTGCCCCTACGGAGATCTAAAAACAATAATAATCGGTAAGGTTTTGTTGCCCCTACGGAGCTCTAAAAATGATAATAATCGGCAGGGTTTTGTTGCCCCTACGGAGATCTAAAAACGATAATAATCGGCAAGGTTTTGTTGCCCCTACGGAGCTCTAAAAACATAAATTATGGGCAAGGTTTTGTTGCCTCTACGGAGCTCTAAAAACAATAATTATCGACAAGGTCTTGTTGCCTCTACGGAGCTCTAAAAACAATAATAATTGGCACGGTTTTGTTGCCCCTACGGAGATCTCAAAACAATAATAATCGGTAAGGTCTTGTTGCCCCTACGGAGCTCTAAAACATAAATTATGGGCAAGGTTTTGTTGCCTCTACGGAGCTCTAAAAACAATAATTATCGACAAGGTCTTGTTGCCTCTACGGAGCTCTAAAAACAATAATAATCGGTAAGGTTTTGTTGCCCCTACGGAGCTCTAAAATGATAATAATCGGCAGGGTTTTGTTGCCCCTACGGAGCTCTAAAAACAATAATAATCGGCAAGGTTTTGTTGCCCGTACGGAGCTCTAAAACAATAATTATCGGCAAGGTTTTGTTGCCCCTACGGAGCTCTAAAAACAATAATAATCGGCAAGGGTTTTGTTGCCCCTACGGAGCTCTAAAAACGATAATAATCGGCAAGGTTTTGTTGCCCCTACGGAGCTCTAAAAACAATAATAATCGGCAAGGGTTTTGTTGCCCCTACGGAGCTCTACAAATGATAATAATCGGCAGGATTTTGTTGCCCCTACGGAGCTCTAAAAATGATAATAATCGGTAAGGTTTTGTTGCCCGTACGGAGCTCTAAAAATGATAATAATCGGCACGGTTTTGTTGCCCCTACGGAGCTCAAAAAACAATAATACTCGGCAAGGGTTATGTTGCCTGTACGGAGCTCTAAAAATGATAATAATCGGCAGGGTTTTGTTGCCCCTACGGAGCTCTATAAATGATAATAATCGGTAAGGTTTTGTTGCCCATACGGAGCTCTAAAACAATAATACCCGGCAGGGTTTTGTTGCCTCTACGGAGCTCTAAAAACATAATACTCGGCAAGGGTTTTGTTGCCCCTACGGAGCTCTAAAACCAATAATAATCGGCAGGTTTTGTTTGCCCCTACGGAGATCTCAAAACAATAATAATCGGTAAGGTTTTGTTGCCCCTTACGGAGCTCTAAAAATGATAATAATCGGCAGGGTTTTGTTGCCCCTACAGAGCTCTAAAAACGATAATAATCGGCAAGGTTTTGTTGCCCGTACGGAGCTCTAAAAATAATAGTAATCGGCAGGATTTTGTTGCCCGTACGGAGCTCTAAAACAATAATTATCCGCAAGTCTTTGTTGCCCCTACGGAGATCTTAAAACAATAATTATCGGCAAGACCAGGGACGTACGCAGGGCGGGGGGTTGGGGGGTTGGGGGGTTCAAACCCCCCCCTTTGGTATTTTTATGGGTGTAACCCCCTAAAAACCATAAACCCCCCCCTTTCGATTTTTTTTTTTTTTTATTTAAAAAAAAAAAATATGCCCACGGCTAACCTAAAAAAGTGTCCGCTTACCCCCCCCCCCCCCCCCCTGAGCGACTTTTCGGCTGGCTGAGTCGTTGCGATTTTTTTTGGACTCCAAAAAAAAAAAAGTGTCCGCTTACCCCCCCCCCCCCCCCCCCCCCCCCCCCCTCCCCCTCCCCATCCCACTGAGCGACTTTTCGGCCGGCGCGATTTTAAATTTTTTTGGGAGCAAAAGATTTTGGGCCAGATTTTAAAACCCCCCCCCCCCCCCTTGAAAAAATCCTGCGTACGCCCCTGGGCAAGACATTGTTGCCCCTACGGAGATCTAAAACAATAATAATCGGCAAGACTTTGTTGCCCCTACGGAGATCTAAAACAATAATTATCGGCGAGACTTCATTGCCACCATGGAACTCCTAAATTAATACCTATTGGCGGGACATTGCCGATAAGGAGATATGAAAGCATATCTTCATCGAAATGACTGAAACGCATGGCACAAAAACCGTAATGACTCGGGCTTAGTTTTTCAATCCATCTCCATCCTTTTTACTTGGACCAATCAATATCGGGAAGTTTTTGTTTACCTATCGTTGGTTCAACATCTTTACTTCGCGTTGTGACCTTTTTTGGTGCGTTTTCAGAGTTTTTAATCAGTGAAAAACTTGAATTTTCCTCGGGAGGAGGGTCGGGAATTAAATCAAAAACAATTAAAAGTTGAGATAATGGTACATCGAATCGTCTTCTTACTCATAGTTACGTTTTAATTAAAACGTCATAGCTTCCGCGCTTCGCGCGTGAGGGTGGGAATTGATTTAAAAAAAGGATTAATCGTCGAGAACGGTACAACGAATCGTCTTCTGTATCTAATAATTTATTTAAAAAATACAAGCTTCCGCGCTTCCCGTGGAATTCAGGAAAGGATAGAGTTGAGAACGGTATCGAATCGTCTTCTTTCTCTAATAATTTATTAAAAACATCTAAGCTTTCACGCTTCCCGTGGAATTCAGAAAAGGATAAACGGATAAAACGAGTCGAGAACGGTACAACGAATCGTCTTCTTTCTCTAATAATTCAATGAAACGTCATAGGGGGAAACTCCCCACTCCCTCCACCCACCCCACGGGCGGATCCAGCCTGCGGCAGGGGACCAAAGGGGGGGGGGGGGAGCCCAGTGGGAGAATATTTAGCGGCGAAACAGCCTGCCTGTTAATAAGGGGGGGGGGGGTAGTGAGCACTATTTTTTTTTGCTCCCGAAAATTTGAAAATCGCGCCCGGCCGATATTTCGCTCAGTTTGGGGGGGGGGGGGGGGGGGGGGGGGGGGGGGGGGGGGGGGGTGAGCATTTTTTTTTTTGGGGGGGGGGTGCAAATTCCCCCCCCCCCCCATAAAACGGCGTGAGGTGATTTTACGCACAATTTCCACTTTGGTCTTAGTGCCCCTTAGGATATAGATTTGTGCCCCTTTCAGTGGATTTGTGCCCTCTCAAAAAAGTGGCCTTGACCCAAATTTGACGTATTTCGAGGCCTGTAATTGGCGTGGGGTCCAGGGGGCGGAGCCCTTAGAAGCTCAGAGGTGTAAGGCATTACCGTAATATGAGCATCTAGGGGCGGCCCGCCGTATGGCCTAGGTAGAATCCAGGGGGCAGAGCTCAGGGGCTTTAGACATTTAATCACGGTCAGATGAGCATAGTTTGATACCTTTTATTTTGTGTGTCACTGGCAGGTCACTATTCTTTCTTTCTTTCTTCTCTTTCTTTCTTTTCTTTCTTCTCTTTCTCTTATATACTTTTTCATAAAAAGTTGGGGAGGGAGGGGGGGGGGGAACTCTTGGGCCCTGATATGTAGGCCTCGAAATAAGCATATTTCTCGCCTAAGTTTAGGAATGTGTAATTTTCCAACAAACACATATAAAAACTATAGGAAAATTCAAATTCCGGCAATTTGTCAAATTTCAGCAAAATTTGTAAATCACTGGTATGGAATTAGAAATAAACCACGTTTAAATTTTTTATTGGGTGGGTAACTGCCCCCCCCCCACATGCCCCCCAGTCCCCCCCATCAGTACCCCAGTGCCCCCCCCCCCGCCGATCAAAACCATATTGGCGGGAAAATCGCAACTGATCTCCCTACCTACCTTTCTTCTTTCTCTTTTGTTTTCTTCTAGGCCAAGAGCATTACTTTAACATGGAAATGTTTGATAACAAGCTGATTTTTCAGGATAGGTCCAGGAATATGTCCAGATTAACATACTAAAAGTCCTCATAAATCCTCCTTGAGCGTTTTCGCAAATTCAAGATGGCGTCCAAAATGGCCGCCATGTCCTGAATTTCTTATAGCTCTGCAACTAGATAACCCAACAAATGCAAATTTAAATGTCTAAATATATGTTTTCAGCATAAGGAACTCAACCAAATAGTTATTAACAAATTTGAAAACACACAAGTGGCAGTAAAACCACTTGAGCCCTTCCCGAAATCCAAAATGGCCATTATTTCCAAATTTATCTCATTGTAAGTAGATACATAATGAATATAATCAAATGTCTATACTAGAAAACACCATTGAAATACATATCAGTACAACAATCTTTGAATTAAAAAATACTTCTTATGCATAAAGTACACACACACACACACACACACACACATACATATGGCTGCTTCCATCATCCTCAACGATATCAGACTGACAGTGTGCAACCGTGAAGAGTACTCAACATTAGATGGAACTGAAAACGTAGACACATTAGTACCAAGGTCGCTAAAGCTTTTTATACATAATGACTGTAAGAGGTGCGGTATGGATGTTGCTTTGCTGCAGCACTAGTTGGGAAGTAGACTTTTTAACTGAAAGGATGAACTCAGAGAACTGCGACCAATTGCCCATTTAATTGTATGCAGTGGTGACGGTAGTCATCAAGACCTGCTGGCCACTAATAAAGGCTTTCCCGCTCTTTTTTTTTTACCCTGCCGTCATGGGTGCTTCCACTGCGAATGTTCAAGCAAGCCATAGTCAAGTTTCTTGTGGACAATATTGAAAGTTTTATGACTGCCCTGATGGTAGATTGCAGAGACCGTATCACACACCCTGTCACAGCTTAAGAAACAGGCAATTTCTAGTGTCC